AGACAAAAGACATATATATATATATATATATATATACACACACACACACACACACACACACACACACACACACACACACACACAGTATAAGTTTTTAAACAAACAATTTAATACTGTACTCAGCAATGATGATTGGAAAGCTTGGTTGAGGTGGTGGAGTCCGAGGGTGGAAGAGGGTGGGATATTCCCAGGGAATGCCTTACTGCTAAATGATGAACTAGCAGTTGGCTGAGCCCTCAAGGGTTAACAGATTGTTGTTAATTAGCGTCACACTCTACAAGGCAGCACAAATGGAGGGATGAGAGACAGCATGGTAGACAGATACAGAGACACACACCCTGTGTGAGAAAGAGAGAGAGGTGCGCATTGCCCCTTTAAATATTGTGAGTCCACTCTGAGTACATTGCCTTTTTAAATAGATCAGCAAGATGAGAAAGCAGCTGCTGCCAGCAAGCTCCCTCTGTCCTGAGCCCTGTCGTGTCCCCCCCCCTGCTTTATGGAGATAGGGTAAGCAGGGGGGGAGGGGGGCACCCTGACTTTAGCCCTCCTCTCCCCTCCCTCACCCCGCCCCTGCACACCAAGCAGGAGGCTCCCCGGAGCAGCTCCAAGGCAGGAACAGCACATGGCAGTGGGGGGAAGGGCAGCTGAACTGCCCGGCAATTGCTAGCCTGCTGGGTGGCTGCCACACAGGGATCTTAGGGGAGCGGGGAGCTGATAGGGGGGCTGCTGGTCCACCCTGGTTCCAAGCCCCCACCAGCTAGCTCCAACAGGCTGCTCTTTCTGCAAGCAGTGGACAAAGCAGGCAGCTGCCAAACATTATAAGGGAGCATTGCACAATTTTAAACGAGCGTGTTCTCTAATTGATCAGCAACGAAACAGCATTAACTGGGACGACTTTAAGTGAGGAGTTACTGTAGCAAAAGGGATACTGTACTGATTTTATTACTCATTTTCATATTCAATTTAGTAAAATACCAATTTTTAAACCGGTCTGAATTTCCATTCTGCTTCACTGGAGTGCTGTGGACTCCAAGCCCCTTGCCACAGAATTTAGGTCAAACTTGCTGCCAAGTTCATGGCATGGGCTATGCCTATACAATACCTTGCATCCGCAAAACAGCAATCCCAACTGTTTTACAAGCCTTGGTCTTGCTAGATTGTTGCAGTGCTTGGTATGAGGTCCTGAGCTCAGATCAATCTTAACTGCTTTAATCTACAGTGATTTATCTTGATTGTGGATGGGATGTCAACCATTAGTTTCTCAAGTTCATTTTAATTTCATCCCACAAAGTAGTTACTGGCATTAGAAAATTGGCCAGTACCACAGCTCCTAGGAACACGGCTGGGCACTGTGGAATATAGATTCTGATCTTCTCAAAATCACTCACTAGTAAAAACCATGACTGTAAGGCTGGAGGAGAAAAAGAGAAGTTAGCTTGAGAAAATAAAGCAGAGGTCAGAGTAAATTGCCATACTTCACTCTTCATAAGTCTGATCTAACAACCCCAAGTGCACGTACAGCCAAGATTTCTTCCCCAGCTCAGGGCTCAGATGCTGAATTTATCCCTTCTCGTATTGCTTCCAGTAATGTCCCAGAATTGGAAGTATGTTTATGTGTGTTGGACAAGTCGTCCATATAGCACAGTATTAATAAAGGAAACTGCTGTGTCCTTCCATGGCTTTTAGACACTGCTATAGTGAACATTTCAGACCCAGAGCTAGAGGGACTCTGGCAAATTTGGACAAAACAAAAATAATTTCTGTGGAGGCCACCAGCTTTCTTTTCAAGGAAGTGATGCTGCCAACTACAGTAAAAGCTGTTTTATCTGGCATGTTGGGGAATGGGGGGTCCCGGTAAGTGAAAAATGCTGGTTAACTAAGAGGGTGGGAGTTTGGGTGCGGAGGGGGTGCGAGGCTGGGGTTTGTGGGAGGGCATGCGGGGCACGGGTGAGGGTGCGGGCTCTGGGAGGGAGTTTGGGTGTGGGAGGGGGCTCGGGGCAGCGGGTTGGGGGGCAGGAGGAGGTGTGGGGTGCCAGATCCAGGGGGAGCTAACCTCAGGCAGCTCCCCACAAGTGGCAACCTGTCCTGGCTGCTTCTAGGCAGAGGCGTGGCAGGCGGCTCTGCACACTGCGTCTGTCTGCAGGTGCTGCCCTCGTAGCTCCCGTTGGCCGCGGTTCCCAGTCAATGGGAGCTGCAGAGCTAGCTCTCGGGGCGGGGATAGCGCACAGAGCTGCCTGCCGCACCTCCACCTAGGAGCAGCCGGGACAGGTCGCCGCTTGCGGGGAGCCGCCCAAGGTGAGCAGCCCTCGGATCCTGCACTCCCACATCCCCTACCCACTGCCCGGAGCCGCCTCCCGCACCCAAATTCCCTCCCAGAGCCTCTGCCCCATTCCCACTCCCATGCCCCAAGCCCTGTATCACACCCAAACTCCCTCCCAGAGGCCGGACCTCCTCCTGCGTCCCAACCCCCTGCCGGCCCCGCGCCAACCAGCCTATAAACCGGAATTTCAATGAAGATCAGAAATGCCAGGTTATAGAGCTTTCTGGTTGGTGAAGTGCCGGATAAAACAGCTTTTACTGTTGTTATATTTACCCTCTCGTTTTAGCTATTTATTATTGTATCTGGCCACGTAAACAGCTTGGGATGACTTTGGTGGTGGCCTAGTGTGCCACATGACAGATTCAGGGTTTGGAAGTGATTTCAGAACCTTCTCTACTCAGCTCAATAAACATCAGACACTCTATGGATCAGATGACCTTAACCACATGTTGTAAATTCCTCTAGGTAAGATTTCGCAGCTCAAGCTGGAGAGTTCCCGTACCTCTGATTCCTTGAGTTGCAGTCACTGGCATTTTCTTTGGATGGGGTTGAACATACTGTTCACAAAAGTCATCATATTCTTGTTTAATTGACACTTCCACATGCCAAAGCATCTCGCTTCGGAGTCAGACCACCAGACAGTTTTCTTTTTGTTAACCCATTCGTTATGCTTAGTAAAGTTTCATTTCGCTAACCTTTTAATTCTCCCATTAAAAAAATCACGTTGTTTGAAGCAACAGAGAGTTCTGTGGCACCTTTAAGACTAACAGATGTATTGGAGCATAAGCTTTCGTGGGTGAATGCCCACTTCGTCGGATGCATGATTTTCGTGGCATTCACCCACGAAAGCTTATGCTCCAATACATCTGTTAGTCTTAAAGGTGCCACAGAACTCTCTGTTGCTTTTTACAGATCCAGACTAACACGGCTACCCCTCTGATACTTGACACCATGTTGTTTGGAACACTTTCAACATTGTTACGCTCTCATCGGCACAATACCCATTCTACCAACTGCCGCACCACATACATGGATATCCTATCCCTTGTAAACAAGAACTGTAGCCTACAGCCATTTTAATAGCACTAAAATTGTGTCATTTGGTTCATAGTCTAAATAGATGGAAAATCTGAAATCCAAAATTATTCTATAGATATTTAGAGACCGATATAAATGATTTCTAGTGAGACGTCACAGTGGCACATTTTTCAGATAGGGACAATGTAAGTAGGGCTGTACAGGCATTTTACACCTCTCCTGACCCTGATTGATATTGTAGTTCAGCTGTGGTTCAAGAAATTTTTGGGCTAGCTCTTAGGATTTGTCTAACTTGAGCTTTTTCAGATTTAACTAACTTGGTAGAAAAAATTGTTGAGCTAAATCAGTGCAACGCCCTGGTGTGGAAGCAGTTCAACACCCCCACCCTCCCAATTTAAAACCCATTTTGTCTCTCTCTCTCTCTCATTCAGCAGCCTCTAACTTTAACCACCAATGAAGTCCACACTCCATGCTCGTTATACACAGAAATTGTGGCCAGTTGGTTTAGCAGGCACTATCTGGCAATGGACAGTTAAAGGAGA